CCCGGCAGCCACGGCGGGAGGCGGAGCTAAATACGGGGGGGGCGGGCTCTGGAGTGACGTCACCGACGTGCTAAAATGCCCGCTGGAAAAAAATGCAATTTTTCCACTGTCTTCACAAATACCGCTATATAATCCACCCATCGCACATCAGCACGCCTCCAATCGGAATAATACAAGATGACAATTATCCCCACCCCTTCTAACCATCCCCCATAGGCGCCATCTTGGGTAGAGACACAGCCATGTCGCAAAGGATGATGGGAAACAGCCTGGGAATGAGGTAAAAAGATTTAATAGGGGACATACACTAGCTACTTAGGGGCGAATTATTTTTAGAGTCGGCCCAGAATCGAGGGGTGCTGAAAGTTTTCAGCCGAGAACTCAGGACATTTCCGACACCTCGAGTGGGATCGTGGGGAAGTTGCCCGGCCGGACGCCTCGGCGACGCTGTGGCGCATTATCATTAAATATCTAATGCCACAGGCAGGGTTCGCCGTGTCGCCGATAACCAGCCGTACCGGGGTTGGGGTAAAATAGGCGTTTCCCATCAGCCTTTGCGGCAACGGCAGCGCGGGCTACGGGAATGAGATAAAAGCGGGAGGGGCGGAGGGAGCGACAAGGCAGGAAACTCATCGCCAGAGCCGCAGCGCCGGAGGGGAGGAGCGGGGCGGCCTGGCGCTGAGGCGGTGGGCTAGGGCGGTCTGCGGGGGCGGATGAGCGGCCTGCAGAAGCAGATACGTGAGGAGCCCGCGGGCTGGTCGGGCGAAAGGCCCCGCTGAGCAGGGAAGTTTCGGGGATTTCTGAGGGAGCCGAGACCGAGCGAGGGGACGAGGCTGGGGGCTGAGATGGGAGAGAGGCGAGCCCGCGGGCTGGTCGGGCGAAAGGCCCCGCTGAGCAGGGAAGTTTCGGGGATTTCTGAGGGAGCCGAGACCGAGCGAGGGGACGAGGCTGGGGGCTGAGATGGGAGAGAGGCCCGGATAGCTCTACATCCAGCATCCCTAAATGCACGTGGGTCGGGTGTTCACCCTGCTGGGGTCTGTCCGGGCACACGTGCGCCCAACTCCCCGGGGCCGGCCCATCCCTTGTGTCCGACACAGTCAGTGACATCCCATCCCCGCCTCGCTCTGGCCGCTAGCCCTGCAGTAGCGGGGTCGGCTCTGTCTCAAGCGCGTGTTGGAGCCTCCGCAGGCTCCACATCCTGGCTTATGACTCAGGAGGTTTTGAAGGAGAATTCTCTCTCCTCCTCTTCCCCCTCCCCCCATGATATTGGCAGAGCTGGGCTAATAGCCCTGGACTCCCACGTGCTTTATGCCGTGGATGGACGGGGTTTTATCGCAGTGCTACGATTCGTCTCCTTTCGCCGCCTCTAGCATGCGCATATTGTTTGCGATTTTCTTGTGGTGCCCACAGGAAACCGAAAGTGGTGGAATAATGGGATCTGTTATCTCTGTCCTGACGCTGGTTAATCTCAGTTTTGGAGTCCATCACTTCCAAAAAAATCTATCTTATGGTCTCTCTGGGAAACAGGTTTTGATGCAGTGTACTGCAGCCATACTTCTGTGGGATACTAACTCTTTATCTTTGTATAAAGCTATACTTAAAATATAGCCAGTTATAGAGATTTTACATGCGAACTTTAAAGGAGTACTCTTAACTCTAGCATGTCTGACAGAGTACTCTTTAAATGGCATGTGTTGACAATTTGGGTTCTCTTCTAATTGATAAAACCTTTCCATTACGATAAACTAATCCTGTGTGCACCATTGTGATTGTGGGTGTTTAAAAATAAAATATTTTAAAAAACATACCACTTTTTTCAGCATTTACTTAAGGGTTACGACTAGACTGGCATGATTTTCTGCAAATGCTTTTAACGGAAAAGTTTTCAGTTAAAAGCATTTGCGGAAAAGAGCGTCTAGATTGGCACGGACGCTTTTCCGCAAAAGCACTCTTTGCAGAAAAGCGTCCATGCCAATCTAGACGTGCTTTTCTGCAGAAAAGATGAGATCTGGTCTCTTTTGTGCAAAACAAATCTGAGCTGTCTATACTCGCCCTTTTGCGCAAAAAGTACTTTTGCCCGAACGGGAGCAGCATAGTATTTCAGCAAGAAGCACTGATTTCAGACAGTAGTAAGTCAGTGTTCTTGCGGAAATTCAAGTGGCCAGTGTAGACAGCTGGCAAGTTTTTCCACAAAAGCAACTTTATTTGAATAGGGGCAGGCCCTGCACAGGGAGCTGCTTCAGCCCCTCCCAGTTAAGGGTGAAGATTACTGGTTCTAGTTAGCTATTTACAACTCTTGTGGACCCTGCTGAAATGCCATAATAAAAGTTCCTTGGTATTACAGCTGCATGTGTAAGGGCAATTTTTAGTATCCACTAGGGATGTAAAATTGGCTAAATAGACAAATGCATTGTTTAACTGATTATGCGGGGCCTGCAGCAAGATCCACTCAGCCAGTTAGTGCACTATATTCTGATGTGCACTAGAACTTACACCTCAGCTGGTGTGCCTAAAAGGAGGAGAGTGGTGGGGGCATAGTCTGTAGGCAGCGCTTTGCCACCCTGTCTGTGGTGGGCCCCCTAGGGCTGGAGTACCCCCTGCCCATAGCAAGCAGGGAACTGCTTCAGCCTCTCCCTGGTTAACTGGAACCAATAAGCATCACTTGTTACGGGTGATGCTTGCTGCTTAATCTTTCATATCCCTACTTAATACTGCATATTAAAGGCTAAATAAGATTTAGATGTGTGTTCAGACTCTGATGTACTGTTTACACTACCAAAGTGTAAACAGTACATCATGTACTTAGAACATGTGAAGTTGCCAAAGGTATTTAGAATGTCAAATACAGGTGTAGCTACCATACAACTGTTCTTATAATTGCATTATTGCAATTGAGCATTCTTTTCACAGGAAACACATGAGGAACATGACACTTTAACTGAAAATGCAGATGATTCAAACCATGATCCTCAATTTGAGCCTATAGTTTCCCTTCCTGAGCAAGAAATCAAGACCCTTGAGGAGGATGAGGAAGAACTCTTTAAGATGTAAGTAGGATGGCACTGGGTGTGTATCTAAACACTAGTTGCTTTTACACTTTAAAAAACATTAATAAGCGATAGGAAGGTAGCCTACTGCAAAGCACCAAGCAGGGGTTACTGGTCTAATTCAATATAGTTCTAGAAGACATCATATTTTCTTTCTAATGTCTCTGAAATGTCTGTCCAATGTAACATGATGAAATCTTGAGTCATTAATAACATTGGAAAAGTTTGGATTAGAAAATATCTGTTAACTTGTGTAAAAAAATCTTGGGTCTAAAGATGTGTAACTATCACAAAGTAGGGTTTTCCTCTTTTTAAAGCTACCACATCTTAAGTGTATGGGTCTTTATGACTCTTCCCCACCCCACCAGTAGAAACTGTCTGCTTACTAATTGACTCAATATTTTATAGACTGGAGGAGTAAATGCCCCAGCCCTTTTAACTGTTCCATGATTCCCTTCTGTCACCATCTGGAGCAGTCAGAGAAACAACCTCTTACTCCTTCCACTGTTTTAACAAGCATCAAATTCTAGTAATTATGACTAGAAAACTGGACAAACTGACTTAATCTGAAAAGTTTAAATTTTGTAGAATGCCTTGAACTTCTTCTAAGGTGACATGTATGTACCATAAGAGCTAATTCCTCATGCTCTGTGATTCTCCCACTTCAAATTGCCCAAAAGCATTTTGTGCCTAAGTCAGATGGCCAGAAGTAATCCTTTTCGAATGATCTGTTCCAGAGTGTACTCTTGTAAGACTCTAACACATGGTTCTATGAGGACATGTACAAAAACTGACCAGCATGAATAGTGTGGTCATTAAGCTTTTCTCTGATGCATGTTCTCAGAGTGAAAGAAGCCATTGTTGGACAACTCCTAAAGAAACACTGAAATAGGTTCTGCTGTCGAAGGATCAGAGGGTACTTTAATAGTTTAGGAAAGTCCCTTTAAGGTGCCAGTAAGTCAGTTGAAACAGAAGACAGAACTATGTAGCACTTAACCATCTTGTTAGTCTTTAAAGTGCTACATAGTTCTCTCTTGTTTCAGCTAGACCAGACTAACATGGCTGCATCTCTATCACTATTCAGCAATTCAAATGGTTATATAGCAAATAAGTGACTTGACAAGAAATTGCTGACACCTGCCTGAACAACAGTGCTTTGGGCTCTTCTGAATTCTAGGCCATGTCTTCAGTCTGTGGAATATCGATGCTGCTGTGACCGATCTTTCAGAGTTCAATTTAGTGAGTATAAGATTCACTAAATCAAATTTGGTGGGCATTCCCACCAGCATCCAGTACTCCTGTTCTTTCCAGAAGAAAGGGAGGGTTACAGAAGCATTTGCTCCATCAGTCTCCCACTATAGGGATGCCACCAAGCTAAGCTTAAGGTAAGCCAACTCCAGCTGTGTATTCTGTGTACCTGGAGTTGCATGTCTTAAGCTGCACTACCAGGTCTAGTGCGGACCTGACCTGGCCTTATGGTTTCAAAAATCTGGATATGTTGAATCCATGTAGGTCCACACCAGGATGCATGTGAAAGTGACCCAGCTGAAGCATTGGATTCAACCTTATCTCAGGGCTTCATCCCTTATCTCAGGGATGTGATGGAGCAGGTTTTTCAGATTCTAACTCCTGGCTACTTCCTTTAGATGCTGTTAGTATAAAGTGAAAACTTCACAACTGTGAATGCAGCTTGGCTCCAGAGGCCCCAACTGTCTTGGTTCACATAAACATTGTCATACTTAAAGGTTTTTCAAGTCACAACTTCACTAATATAAGAGAAATACTATAGTCATTTCCATTAGCTCTGTGGACTACCTGTTCAGATAGGTCAGTGCCTAAGTTTGCTATGGGCAGCTGCCTGTTTAACCCCTGTACACCTGCTCAGGACCATGCCAAGAAGAGGCTTACCAAGCCCTGGACTTGTTGTGGCCAGGGGAGAGGTGCCCTGACTAACACTGCTCTGTTGGAGCTGTTACAGCCATGGAAAAGAGCCTCTCACTTGGCCTCAAGTTGTTGAAGTGAGAGGTATGGGGTATTCCTCTTTCAGGAATAACCTGCATCTCAAACACAATCACCTTCACTCTTTCTGCTCCTGGACCCCAGAGCCCACATTCCCAGCTGGAACCCTTACTCCCCAGCTCTGAGCTCCTTACCACATTCCAAGACCTGTGGACTTACCCCTGCCCCACACACCTTGTGTAGAATGTTTTGTTTCATGCAGCATTGAGTTTTTTATATAAACCAATATGGACCTAAATTAGTGGGAACACTCGTCACCCCTCCCTAAGCTCTCCCACCTTTGACGGGGAGGAGTGCTGACAAGTGAAGTGCAAAAAACCTCACTGGCCTGCCTCCCCTTCCCTGAATGAGAAGGGCGGGGGAGGGGGAAGCTCTCCAGATGTTGCTCCCCTTGTGCTCCAGCCTGAAGGGGAGGAAGGTGCTGAGTGTTGCTCCTTC